ATTAGAAGAAGCTGTTACAATGTTTTTTGAGACTATTGCTCATAATGAAGTTCAACGAGCAATTGCTACACATTATCAACGGAGATGGTGAACATAAAGTTTTATGAAGTTCTAGATGATGTCGCAAGATATTAGAAAGCCCGGGGAACATAAACTTAAACAGGTAAACCCCATACTGTTTTCTCAGAAAACATATTATCCTTTTTTAATGGTTGCATCAGAGCTCTCGGTGATACACATGTGTCAGTGCGAGTTGGAAGTGATAAAAAAAAAGTATTAAAACTTACGGAAGCAACATCTTACTATGAATGTTCTTGCTTATGTTACTTCAACAAGGAGTTTATATACATATATGTGGGGACACCAGAAATAACTCATGATTCGAAAATATTGACATATTGTGCACAGTACGATGAATATTTTCTAGCTCCACCTGAAAAAAAAATTTCTCTTAGATTCAGGCTATCCTAATAGAGAAGGATATCTTGCTATGTATCGCTAAACTCGATATCATCCGCATCAATCGCAAGGAGCCCCACCGAAAAATGAGAGTGAATAGTTTAATAAACGCAATTCGTCTTTGTGTTGGGTGATTGAGCGGACTTTTGGGGTCTGGACAAGAACATTTGCAATTATCAGAAATCTAGCACGCTATCATCTACAGATGCAGTGCAAGATTGTCATAGCGACAATGGCATTACATAACTTCATACAAAAATTAAAGAATATTGATGATAATTTTGAAGAGTATGAACAGATGGAAAATAAAATGCTTAAATTGACTGATTCAGATGATAGTGATAATGATGAAAAAATTCAAAAAAAGAGCCTATGTGCTTGCATGTGATGCATATATGACTGGTATTCGAAACAGTATTGCAGATAGTACATGGATAGCTTGTAGATAGATTATTTCATGTTTTAGTGAGATTATAATATTATTTAAAAAGTAATTATTATTTTTATTAATATTTTTATTTTAAATAATTAATCAACATAACAATAACCCATAAGTCTCTCCATGGCTTGACACATCAGCATTTTCAAACTTTTAGGAGATGACACTTCAGCAAAAAAAAACATCAATAAAAATATTTCATTAATACAAGTCATCAATATATTTTAACTTTTAAATTTAAACCCATTAAAAACCTATATATTTTTTATTGTTAATTTTAGTTTTATTTTTTGGTCAAGCCCAATCTCAAATAATAAATAACAGTAAATAAAAAAAAATTGTTTTTTTTTGCCAAACCCAAATAATAAATAACAACAAATAATAAAATTAAATCTTTGTTTTATATATTTACCAAACCAAAACTCAAATAATAAATAACAGCAAAAAAAATTAAAATTTCTACCTATGTGTTTGCTTGATAGATACGTATATGATAGAAGAAAATGTAGACTCGTTATCAACTATGTTTTCATAACAACAATGCAAAAAGCGTTGTGTTATAAGAAGCTTACACATCAGCAAAAATTTGAACCAATAAAAACATAACAATAATACATATTATTAACACACTAATAAAATCAATTTACTAATTTGCTGACCCATTAAAAAGCTCAAAGTTTACAAAAAAAATGGAAGGTGAAAGCAAATGAGGAGAAACTCAAACCACCATAGCTTGGAGATTCGCATTTCCACTGGTTACCGAGAATAAATTTTCTTGGGTTTGGCGGAAATAGAGAATTTCTTGGTTTTGGAAGAAAAATGTGATTTTCAGTTTTGGTAGGAAAACATAGTTTCTCGGTTATGGTGGATAAAAGCGAATTCTTGGGTTTGGCAGAAAAATGTGAATTTTTTATTTTGGTGAGAAATAAAAAATTTAATTTTGACGAGAAAATGCGAGGGAAATGCAACTTTTCAATTTTGATGAAAAATATTATTTCTCGGTTTTGATAGAAAATGTAATTTTTCGGTTTTTGATGGATAATGCAATTTTTTGATTTTTGCGGAAAATTGTAATTTGACAATTTTGGCAGAAAATGCAATTTTTCGGGTTGATAGAAAAGCAAAATTTCTCGATTTTGGTGGGAATAAACAATTTATTGGTTTTGATGGGAAACGTAAATATTCAGTTTTTGACATATAATTTAATTTTTTGATTTTCGAGGGAAAATATGATTTCTTAGTTTTTGCGAGAAATGAAATTTCCCATGAGATAATGCAACTTTTGGTTTTCGCGGAAAATTGTAGTTTATTGGTTTTGGTAGGAAGACGTGATTCTTGATTTGACGAAAAAAAATAATTTTTTCTTGTTTTGGTAGGAATAGACGATTTTTGTGGAAAAATATCTTTTTGGTTTTGATGGTAAAATACTATTTTTTTTTGTTTTTGCAGGAAGATGAAATTTTTTGGTTTTGGTGAAAAAACTTGATTTCTCTATTTTGACGGGAAAACACAGGTTCTCGCGGGGAAATGTGATTTTTTGGTTTTTGAAGAAAAATGTAATTTATTTGTTTTGGTAGAAAAATGAAATTTCAGCTTTGACGAGAAAATAATTTTTTTTTTGGTTTTAGTGGGAATAAGCGATTTCTTAGTTTTGTGGGAAAATATATTTTTTTTGTTTTGTCGGAAAATGCAATCTCTCGGTTTTTGTAAAATGATAAAATTTCTCTGTGCTAATTTTTAAAGTTACAATATGTTTATAGTAACCAAAATTGAATTATTTAACTTCAACTAAATTGATATTTCAACAGTTCAAATAGAACTTTCTATTTAGTTCTAAAGTAATAGTAATGATTTTGATATGAATGTTATTGATTATAGTTTGATAGTTTTAGAAACATATGTCTATAATAAATATTTGATAAACAAATATATTTAATAGTTTAAAATAATCATATTAATTATTTTTTTTAAATGACAATTTGCTTTATATAATTTCAAAAGAGGATCAAGTAGCAATTTAGTAGAGAAAATAAATTACATTTACCATTAGCATGAAGGTACTTAAAAATGTATTGTTTTATTCTTACATATACATTTATAGATAGTTAGCTAAACAAATTTGATAGTAGATTATAATTTTTAAAAAATTAAAAAATTAATGATATATAATGTTTATTCAGATTTAAAATATATAAATATATAACTTACGCTAATAAAAAATAAATATAATACTTATTTATATTATAGAAATAATTTTATTATATTAAAAATATATACAAATCTAGAAAAAATATCATGCAGCATAGTACGGGTAAATACCTAGTTTCATTTTAAAAAGATAATAATGTTTTATAAAAATTTCCATTCTCCGCTTTAATTCTCCGATTCAGCTCCAATCCTGTCTTTAGCTCCCAACTCTTGAGTCCTGCTCCAGCTCCCGCTACAACTGCTGTCAGATACTTCTCTCTTTCCCACTTTGCCAATCACGCCTATAGTTGTCTCGATCAATATGGCATTGGTGTTGTTCTTAGGCTTCACTTCCATGGACTCGGTCCTTTATGTTTTTTTTTTGGATTTTGGAAATATTTAGAATAGCCACGACTATGTAGGAGGGGACATCTCATATTTTGGTGGATATGGTTTTGTGATAAGAACATTATAATATACTGATCAAGAACAGAGAATTGCAACTATAAGAACCTAGGGTTTGTCAAGAGTCTCTCTCTCCCCTATAGCCAAAGCTATCCAAGTTACATCTCACAAAATGCATACTTCTCTCTTAAGCCACTACTCATATTCATACTCTATTTCTCTGTACATTCCTTTTCTCTTTTAACAACTCTTCTCTTCTTATCTTCATTAGCTTCAGTCTCTTGCCCTGTCCATGTTATTGATCTGCCTCTTTTCACACAAGCTTCTAAGCCATCATAACATATCAATATCCCCCCCCCCCCTCTTGTTTGATCAATAAGGGTAAAGTCAAAGTCAAACCCTTGATGGAAGAAGTAGATTTTAAAAAAAAAAATATGAAGAATATTGTCAATATTTTTTTCTATTGAAAATATTGTCAATATTTTTTCCTATTGAAAATATTGTCAAGTTTTTTTTTAATGGCATTGGAGACAATTACTTTGACAACAATGGATAAGAAGACTATGAAAACTTTTAAAAGGAACATGGAGGATTTCTACTAAAAACATTAAGTATATTGGTTTTAACGAAGCGACAAAATTTAAAATCATCTTTAACAATATTGAATTTACATTTACTTCGCATTTTGGAGTTTCAGCAGCAAGTTGATAACCAACAAAAAGTATATAATGATGAGACATAACAAAAAAAATCATGTTAACTTGTAAGCCTTATGAAATGATATTAGGTTATATTCAATTCCTTCACAAGAAATTGTTACAATTTCCTGTATTTACATATAATGGTTGTTTTGAATTGGTTATGTTTCTTTGTAATATTTTTGATATTAACATAATTGATTTGCCGAAAAAAGTGGTGCTATTCACGAATTAAGTGTAATGTTAGTAGAACTTGAGAGAGAGAGAGAGATATCGATACATGTTTACCAAAATGTAACATATACATTAGAGATAGTGTCCCTACCGATTCAACAAAGTACCATATCAGATACTAATCCTTCAAAGCTTAATGTATACACATCGACAATATGGTTTATAAGAGTTAATATTCAGCCAATTGAAAATTTTATCCAAGTTTCATACGCTATATACACATACGGACCAGCGTTTAATATCAGTGAAATTGAGGAAGAATCCAAACTAACGTGGAAAATAAAGTAAATCAATAAAACTTTCCCTAATTCTCTGAAAAATTATACATAGAAACTGAAGTTGAGATCAAAAGAGTTCCGCAACGACTAAAAGAAGGATTTAAGACAAACAATGTCGGAAAATTGAAATGCAATCGATTTGGATTAAGACGAAGAAGGATTACAAAAGTCGGTCTTTCCGAAGGAATTAAGGTTAATCGATAATTATATTAAGCCCATCTAAACGGGCCAAAATACAATCTTAATGGGCCTTATAATTGGGTTTACGCATAAGAGCACATTATTAGACTTCGTCTCTTTGTGTCTTTTCTCAGTCGAATAATTTGCTTGCTTGTCCCGAAAGTCGGAGGGTGGAAAAGAAACCAGAGCGAAACATAGAAGCGAGGAAGAGAAGAAGAAGGAAGAAATATGGAGTCTCCGAAGAAGATAGCTCACGTGATCGGTGGTGTCAACAACGACGCTCTTCGATTTGGTCTGCAGGGCGTTAAGAGCGACATCGTCGGATCTCACCCACTCGAATCTTCTTACGAATCTGTAAGCTATCCCCAATCGAGTTCTTCTTTGTTTATTGTTTATCTCATGTGATTATCTGTGTTGAGATTTGGTTCTGTTTCGATTTCCAATTGAATCTGATTGTTTCTCGGGAAAGTATGGTGAGAGAAAAAAAGAGCAAGTCTGAAATTAGCTTAAAGGAAGGAGCCTACTGTGTGTTGATTAGCATTCTTAGCTTCCTCTGTCTCCCAATTAGTTGATTACTTCTTCTCTTGTTCGATATTGGGTTTTAATTCGAGGCACTTGAGTAGCAATTGGGGTTTCAATCTTACTAGCTGAAAATTAGGGTTACTGATTAATTACCTTGCTTTTTTCGATTTCAGCAAAAGAAATCGCAAGAGGCGACGAAGAAGACGATCATTGCGCACACCTTTGGGGCTGCACTTCCATTGAAGATGGACATGGACAGGCAAATTCTCTCACGGTATGTGTCTTGTAATTGCAGTAATTTCTCTGAATCTGGAAATAGTTCTGTGTACTTGAAAGCTACTAGATCAACACCATCTGCTATCTATATGACTAGATCAGATATCTGTTCCATAACTTGTAATATCGGAAACTAAAGGCTTTTTGTACATGAAGATTTTAGTTTTGTGTGAATCAATGCACTGTGAATCTAGTCTATGGTATAAAGTAAGATGCACACATTTATAGGGAATATGATATTTATTTGCGTTACTGCTATCTAAGTGTCTTGTGGGTACTCGGCTAAAACTTGACACAATCTATGTGTGCATTGGTCTAAAGGGTTTGCTGCATGATCTGCTGGTGGGGAGAAGAAAATAACTTTTGGTTGTATTGTTCTCATTATTTCCTTTTTTTCTTTCTGGAATATGCAGGTTTCAGAGACCTCCTGGACCAATTCCTTCGTCGATGCTCGGTTTAGAAGTCTACACAGGAGCTGTGGACAGCTTTGGTTTTGAGGATTACTTGAATGGTAAATATCCTTTACTGCTATTGCATGTATCTCAATGCTGCATTCACTTCTCTAGATCAGTAGACACCAGTTTGATGGTGTCTCAATCTGTATGCACTAGCAGAGAACAATTCGATAGTTTGATATATACTTTCTTTGGTACTCGCAAGCAGCAAAAGATTCATTTTTTTTTATTTGCAATGCTGAGTTTTCCTCAAAGCATCATCCTTTTTTATAGTTTCATTTTCTTACAAAGCCCTTGTCCCTTTAAGTATGCTGTTCTTGACACCAACTGGCTAGATTAAGTAATGAAAGGGGTGTGTCTAAATGTGTGATTTGGTTTAAAAAATTCGATATCGGTTATCTGAAACTAGTATCTTCATCGCTTGCAGATCCTCGTGACTCGGAGACATTCAGGCCAGTAGATTTCCACCACGGGATGGAAGTTCGTCTTGGCATCTCAAAGGGTCCGGTTCCCTCAAGTTTCATGTAATGCCTTTCAAAGATGGTTTTATTGGTTGTTGTTCCGTCTTACGCTTTTGAATGATGAATCAATTGAGATATTGTATGAACTTGTTTCGACATTAGTCTTCTCTTCTCTCTTCACCTGACTCCTAAGTTTGAAATCGGATGAGTCTCAGACAACTATGAAACTGAATGATCAGACAAAGGTTTTGTGAAACTAAAGTTGTCATCAGATGAAAGAATCATCATGTATTCCACTCAGATTGTAAAGCAATGACTATTATTAGAAATCAGAGAGAAACTGTCTTAAACAAGGCTCGTGGAGCTTGATCTTTCTACTGACTAAAAAATTTATGGTTTTCACAAACCGGTGAACCACTGAAACTTATTATCATTTATGAAAATCACATGAAACAAAAAAATTGTGTACAATGTTTTTAGAAAAAGAAACAACACCCTCAATCCTTTTCTACCGTTTTCAAGAGGAGAAAAAAACAAAATTTGTTTCTTTTTCTTAGAGGAAAAGAAGAAACATGGTTTCTTCAGCTGACAATTTTTACTCTTGTTGAATCACCAGTCAGGCCCAATGTTTTGATTATTAATTTCTCATTTCAAAGATGCTTTTCGCTAACGTACTCTGCAAAATTGATTCCCAACAAAACTATTCCCCAACAAAAAAATAAAAATAAAATAAAAGATAGGTTATCAGCAACGGTCACAAGCGATTCCATATAGGTGGGCCTCATGACGCTTTTGACTCGAACGTTCTTCTCACGTAGGCCCACTCACTCTCCATTACCATTACCCTCGTCACTTCTTAATTCTTATCTTTGCTTTTTTTTTTTTTTAATTCATTTATGTCACCAACATTAAACCCTATTTTTTAGTTTAACACAGAAGGTTTATATTTCAATGTTCAACACCAAAAAAGAAGGTTTATGTTTCAAGTTATCACTAAATTTTTACATTTTAATTGTAAGCGAAGCACAAAACTCGATTTTTGAGTATGCATAATTATGTTGAAATAAACTAATAAACTAATATCTACACTTAGTGCAAGATTTTCTTGATGAAAATGTATTGGAGAGGGGCAAAGTCTTATTAATATGCTTGAAAGACGGCGGCAGCCAACAACACATATATCCTCTTTTATATGCATTTGTATTTAAAAACTATAAAATGGTTTAACCCCAAATAAAAATTAAAAATTAACCAAAAACAACATATGATAGAACTTTTAGATCAAACTCAAACAAATTTTTTTTCATTTTCGCTTTCATTATGTAAAGCAAATTATAACTGTATATATCTTAATGTTTTAAATACCTGTTAATTGATTTTATAATTTAACATAATTAAATCTATATTTTTATGTAAAGTAAACTACATTTTTCAAAAATATTTGAAATTTTGGTTTTATCTTTGATTAATAAGATTACCAAAATTTGTTAACAAGCTCTATATTTCAACACGTGTTTTAATATAATTGATTAGTGATTTTGAGAAACCATTAGTTCAATTTTACATGTATTTTCACTTTTCATTAGATACATAGTTTTAAAATTCTCAAACTCATAAAAAATCAATTTAAAATAAATAAAACAAGTAGTCAAATCAATTAATTATCTTCTAGTTATATATAATTTTTTATTATTATTTTGTTTTCCAGCTCAAATTTATTATTCAAGGGAAAAAACCCAATTAGAAATACAAATCTATATATATAAAGGAGAATGAAGTCTCTTCTTATGATGCCACCTCATCAACACATATCTTAAAATTATGATACAACATCAACTAATTTATTAATTTTTTTATTTAATTTATTATGTTTTATGTTCTTTAATCTTTCAATTTTTATAATAACCAACATTTATTAATATGATAGACTTAAATAGAATATGAAAAGTCCTTTATTCATAAATATAGGTTATATATTGATTTAAAGAAACTTTAGTTTAATAATTTTAATTAAGTCAAATTTAAAATTTTAAAAATATTTTATTAATTTGATATTTTAAAAAGTTTGGAATATTTTTATTATAAATATAATATAAACTTATATCTGTTATAAGAAAAAAACAAAAACATACATTTTTTATGGCAGCGTGTTCGAATACTTTTATGTTTATGTGAGAGAGAAAAAGAAAGAGAGAGAGAGAGTAGTGCATCTTGAAAATAAATTGATCAACTTGAAACATTTATGAAAAAGATCAATAATAGTGTTCATAATGTAACGATATTCATCTAATTACAATAAAGAGGATGGGTGATAGTAGATTCGAAAATGAGTTTGAAATCTGATTCTTAAACCATTGATGTAATGGGTAAACCCAATTTCTATTAGCAAATTCTTTTATACTTTTCAAAAACAAAGTTATAGATATTGTAAAAACGATTTTTTTTTTTGTTAGAATGATTTTACATTCATTCAAAAATAAGATTAATGTTATATGAATAAACATTCTATTCAAATTTTTAAAAAGATAAATATAAGTATAATATTTAATATAATTTTTTACATCTAAAGTTAATAAGTGAGACCAACGTAACTACTTAAATTTTATCCTTCAATATTTACATTAAAATTTTGATATGTAATATTATTTATGATTCCAACATTTTAAAAAACATTGTAGCTTTTATAAATATATTTAATTTTCTACTATATTATACTTGATTATTTATATTTTATAGCGGTGAAAAATATGAAGTATATTTTATTAATAAAAAATATTAATAACTAAATAAAATGATATTTTATAATATTAATTTTTTTTTAAAAATGATGTAAAATTCTGTGCATAACACGGAATATACACTAATGATCATAGAAGAACAACGTACAAACCCACAAAAAGGTAAAACATAACCCTGAAAAGGTTAAACTTTGTATACACTACGCACTTTAACCGGATAAACTAGTTGAATAGTACATTCGTATATTTCTCCTCCCTCGGTAATCAATAAATTAACAAAAAACATTCTTTTTCCAAAAAAGAAAAAAAAAACATTCTTCAGAATTTAACAAAAAAGCAAAAAAGTTTGGCCAGACGGCCCAGACATGACTGGTCTTCATCGACGACTCATTCAATTAGTTTTTTTTTTTGAGGTTGCTGATTAGCAATTTGTTTAACAATTTAATAATGTGTGAAAGGTGATGGTGTTTTCATCTATGAAGTCAAATATCAAGAAAAATTAAGAAGAAAAATAAACAATTATAAAAAAATAGCTAGAGAGTTAAAAACACAATGATGTGGAAGTCACGTGGAGACAGAACATATACTTGCGTCAAAACACTACAACGCCCATATGCACACAGCTCTTAGCCACCTTGGCTTTTCTTTTTCTTTACTTTTTTAGTTCTTTTATTCCCTTTTTCCTCGTATTATCCATTTTGCAAAATGCAAATTTTTCTTACGTAAAAAAATTATTTAAATACTGAACTTTTAAATTTCAGCCATTCTAAGTATTATTTTTCGTATGATCAATTAAAATAACAAATTTTTCGTTAATTGATGTTAAAATCACAAATTTTTGTTGACTCAACCATTTTAGGTACTACGTTAACATCACTAACAGATTGACTAAATGTCTTTTGGTCAACGTCTGTTAGTAAATTCAGTGTCACGCCTAATATGGCCAGTCAACATAAGTTTGTAATTTAAAAGATGATCGATATAAAAATTTATGATTTAAACTGTCAACGCAAAACTTAATTCTTATAAAAGCCGAAATTTAAAAGTTTGACATTTAAATGACATTTTTCTCTTCTTTCTACTAACTGAACTTCAATTGCATCAGTTTACATAGCTGCAAAACCAAGTAAATCCAAACAAATTAAAAATATATTTAAATATAATTTAAATTTACATTACACCGAAACAACAAAAAATAAAAAGATTAAGTTTAACTTAAAAAAATCAATTTAACCACATCTAAGGAATTTTTAAAAATGCAAATCTTACGAAAGATTATGATAAATAAATGACTAGTTAAGTGGGGAAAACGACCAATTCCACCATAAATTATTCATACATTAACTATGAAGCAATGTCAAAAAATACATAAACTATTGAAAAGCGGTCAATTCCACCATGAACTAATACATTTCTGATTATTCATACATCAACTATGAAGCAATGCCGAAAACTACTTAAATTATTGAAATGTTTGTATTTCCACCATAACCTTTAGAATTGTAGTCGAAACCAATAATACTATAGACATAGTGAGTTTGGCCGTTAGTTGCTGATGACTGAACCGACACATGGTTACTCAAAACGACGTCGTTTTGTAATTTGTGTGGAAAACATAAAACCACGTTGTTTTTTTGCCTTATGTCGGGAATTAACCAAAAAACTTTTTCTTCGTCGTTTCTTTTTGGTTTGGGAATTTTTTTTCACAATTTCAGATCTTAAAACCATATAAGCAATCGAATGCTGTATGTAGAGGTTGAGGAAGGAAATGAGGAAAAATTCACAACTTTAGATCATTAATTTCAGATTTTAGAAATTTTTGTAGTGATCCTTGTTGCTCCAGATATCATTCGATTGCTTCTACAGTTTTAAGATATGATATTATGAAAATTTCTCCTAAACCAGAAAGAAACGATGAAGAGAATTTTTTTTTAGTTAATTCTTGACATAAGACAAAATGATGTAGTTTTATGTTTTTCACACTCGGATTACAAAATGACGTCATTTTGAGTAATATCACGTGTCGGTTCAAACTCACGACGTGTAAAATATTATTGGTTTCAACCACAATTCTAAAGGTTATGGTGGAAATACAAATATTTCAATAGTTCATGTAGTTTTCGGCATTGCTTCATAGTTGATGTATAAATAATTAGAAAATTTATTAGTTTATGGTGGAATTGGTCGTTTTTCAATAGTTCATGTAGTTTTCAATATTGCTTCATAATTGATGTATGAATAATCAGGAATATATTAATTCATGGTGGAATTAGCCATTTTTTCCTAGTTGAGTGCAATCTATAAATTAGGGAAGATTATCGACTAATTGCGTGCGACTAATGTCTCCATTATTACAATAACTTTCATATTTAGTTATTTACATAACTAAACTATTAAAAAAGATTTGCTTTGTGTAGTGTGTACGTTTCATAATTTTTTTTTTCCTTTTTCTTTTCCAAAGATGTCAAACACAACAAAAATTGTTCTACCTCGTTAGCGCTATCATAATTAGAAATTAATTTGGTTTACGTTTAATAAATCGAAAATCCATAAAACCGTGATCACTTATCTCTCATGATCACAATTTTACTGAAATATTCGAGTTTCAAGTTGTGGGAGAGAACTGTAGCAATCTTACCATCTTGAACTATTTGAGTTTTGTTTAGAAAATCACATTGTTAAGTGAATCATGTGTTATCTCAAAGAACCTCAATAGGTTAAGTTTAAGCTGCTTTTTCATCAGTTTTATTATTAATTACAAACTTCTTAAGATTCTTAATCTTTTATTTTGTATAATCGTAAGTTTAAAATATTTTTTTCAATTAGAAATAAAAGTTACTGTTTAGTAAAAAAAATATCATTTAAATGTTAAACTTTTAAATTTCGGCCATTATAAGCATTAAGTTTGCGTGGACAGTTTAAATCACAAACTTCTATATCGATCATCTTTTAAATCACAAACTTATGTTGACTGACCATATTAGGTATGACATTGAATTCACTAACAGAGGTTGACCAAACAGTGTTTAGTCAATCTAGTGATGTCAACGCCGTGTCTAAAATGACCGAGTCAACATAAATTTGTGATTTTAACATCGATCAATGAAAAATTTATTATTTAAATAGATCAAACGAAAAATGATGCTTGAAATGACTGAAATTTGAAAATTCAGTATTTAACTGGCATTTTTCACTTTTTCTTACACAGTTAATTTGGTATATAATTAAACTCATATTTTTTGCGAATAAATGAAATTTTGTAGTTTTATATCATGTTTATAGTCAGTTGCTTCTCACTCCACAGCTAAAACAACTCAACCCGACTATTTAATCCTATACCAAAATCATGTATTCATATAAATTTCTTCATTATATCCAATAAAAAAGGTAAAATATCCCCTTTAGATTTTAATACATACATACAAACATAAAATACTAATTTTGACCCAAAAGTTTTGGTCGAGTTCAAATTCGTCATACTACAATGCCTTATAAAAAAATACTGTTTTGCAAAATAACACCTTTTCACCTAACTTTAATTTTATTTTCATACAAATTCTAGAAGTGAAAAAAACGAACAGTCAATATTTTAATTTAGTGAGGATCATGAAAAAATATACAGTAATAACTATATTACTAATCATGAAAATATTTTATGTTGCTGGCATGTAAATTAACAAACAATCTGTATTTATGATTGTATGAGATCCTCCTTCATAAATATGTTGCTGGTCTGGGGTATTTAGCAATTTAAAAATATATATTACCAATATTGTTAAATTAAATAATGCGATTTCAACTAGTTAGTAAAACTCTAAAATAGCCTTACTAGATAGATCAGTAATTTCTAATTACCATTTACCACGCCGCCTCAAGCCACTTTTTTGTTATCATCATGGATGGGTAGTTTCGTCTTAATCAAGGTTGCACAGTTGCAGCGCATAACCGTTGTAAATCGAAAATTCCAAATCTACCCTTACGGAACCTTCGAGCAAATCGTTAAAGACGGCGGCCGAAGTGTAAATAAAGGAAAAGTTAGGGGTCCACTTTTATAAAATAAGTAAAAAAGAGCAAAGAACGTGAAACGATCCGCGCGAGCCACACAAAAAAGGTTCCAGCACAGAGAAGAGAGAGAGAGAGAAGTTGCTTAGAGACGTTGTCGGACTTCAAACCAGTTTCGGTACCGGAATTTAGGAACTCCGTTTAAATCCGGAGCCATCAAAAAAACAAAAAAAGGATAAGCCTTTTCTTTTTTATCCGTTCTTCTCCTTCTTCTATTGGAATTTTCGGAGAGTGAAGTCAGAAGTCAGGGGAATTGTTCTTCAGTTTTCGTCATCTGGGTTTTTAATTTTCGGAGTTCAATTTCGGAATTAAGGTCGTTTGAAAGCTTCGGTGAGGGAAAGTTAGGGTTTTTTTCTCCAGAATTTGGTTTGTTTGACTCAGAGAGATCTCTTCAAATTTCTGTTTTTCTTTTCTGAGAAATTGTAAAGGATGTCCACGCCTCTGAAGGTGTGGCAACGTTGGACTACTCCACCGAAAGCGACAAATCCAGATTCGGGTTTAGACATGGTGACCCCAGTTCCGGGTCGGGTCAGTGAGATCCAGTACGACGATCCAAGGAGACTGCCTGAGAAAGTTTCAGAGCTTGAAAAAGAGGTGATTTTTTTCTTTTCTTTTCATAATCTGTGATCTTTGGTTCGTTATTTTTCTATTTCTGTTGGGCTTTTGCCCTTTTAATTTTCATCTCACAGTTGGATATTGAATGTGTCTTACGATTTACAGCTCATGCCATTTGCAAAACTTGGTTTACTATTTCAAAGATTTGCGTCTTATGGTTATTGCATAGCACGTGACATTATAGTTCCAAGGATCTTTAAGAATTTGGTGTGAAAATTTGTAACCAATGTTATGGCTAAGTCAATTATGGGCGTGAAAATTTGTTAACTGTAAATAATTCTTACTGTTGAGTAACTCTGCTGGTTCGTTGATCTGCTAAACAGCTTTTTGAGTACCAACACAACCTGGGACTTCTTCTGATCGAGCAAAAGGAGTGGAGTTCCAAATATGAAGAACTTCAACAGGAACTTGAGGAGGTAAACGAGTGCCTTAAGCGTGAACGCAATGCCCTTATGATTGCTGTAGCAGATGTTGAGAAGCGAGAAGAGGGTTTGAGGAAAGCTCTGGGGATTGAGAAGCAGTGTGCACTTGATGTAAGAGTCCAACTTTTCAAGTTTCTACACTGTTCTTTTATGTTTTTTTCAATTCCATTTTGATTTTGCAAATTTGTCATCTTGCTTTATGACACTCTTGAAACTGATGCAGCTGGAGAAGGCTCTGCGTGAACTACGCTCTGAAAACGCAGAGATAAAATTTACAGCTGACTCGAAGTTGACTGAGGCGGATGCATTGGTTAGAAGTGTTGAAGAAAAATCTCTGGAAGTTGAGGCAAAGCTGCGTGCTGTTGATGCAAGACTTGCTGAAGTTAGTAGAAAGAGTTCGGAGGTGGAGAGGAAGGCAAAGGAAGTGGAAGCTCGAGAAAGTTCCCTTCAAAGGGAGCGATTTTCCTACATTGCTGAGTACGTTTTGGACTTGTGTTGTATCTTGACTAATTGATCTTTGTCTCGCTTCCTTGTTTCTTATTGGGGGGATGATTTCATTGGTTCAACTTGTTTTGTTCTCAGACGAGAAGCAGATGAGGCAACTTTGTCAAAGCAGAGGGAGGACTTGCGTGAATGGGAAAGAAAGTTGCAAGAAGGAGAAGAAAGAGTTGCTAAATCTCAGATGATTGTTAAACAGAGAGAGGATAGGGCAAATGAAAGCGATAAGATTATCAAGCAAAAGGGAAAAGAACTTGAAGAGGCGCAAAAGAAGATCGATGTTGCTAACCTCGCTTTGAAGAAGAAAGAAGACGATTTCACCTCAAGGATAAAAGCTCTTGCTTTAAGGGAGCAAGTAAGCAGCTCGTTTTTTTCTTTTCTTGTAGTAATTATTATTATTTTAAGTTCTTGGGATCTTGTCCATTTACTTACTTCCTCTGGATGCAGGAAACTGATGTGCTGAAGAAATCCATAGAGACGAAAGAGCGAGAGCTGCAAGCTCTGCAAGAGAAACTGGATGCCAGAGACAAGGCAAGCCCTCTCTCCCTCACACTCTCTCTCTCATATGCATTTCTCTGTCACTCCCTATCTATGGATGACATCTGTGCAACTGATTACGTAGTTTTATGTCACATTCTGAGCTTAGTTCGCTGTACAGTAAAAAATTTCAATTTCCATCTCGATTTGGCTTGTTTGCGATTGTTTCCTAGTTTGTATCAGTTGTCTTTTGCACTTATTTTAATGACTCACTATCATGCAATATTCTCTATTTGTGTTATAGTTTTGAAAAGGTTGGAATCACGTCATTGTGATTAATTAATTACATGTGTGTATTCTGAGTTTTGACCGTGCTAGTTGTTTAATGTTGGCTAATTGTCAGGTTGCAGTTCAGCAACTAATTGATGAGCACCAAGCTAAATTGGAGGCAACACAGCGTGAGTTTGAGTTGGAAATGGAGCAGAAAAGAAAGTCTATCGATGACAGCTTGAGGAGCAAGGTTGCTGAAGTGGAAAAGAGGGAGGCTGAGTGGAAGCACACGGAGGAGAAAGTTGCTAAACGTGAACAGGCATTAGATAAGAAACTGGAGAAGCTTAAAGAAAAAGAAAACAGCTTTGAACTAAGGCTGAAAGACGTAAATGGCAGAGAGAAAGCCTTGAGAAGCGAGGAGAAGGCATTGGAAACCGAGAAGGTAAAACTGCTCGAGGATAAGGAAACCATTCTCAACCTTAAAGTTGAAGTCGAGAAAGGAGAGGCTAAAAATGAATTACAGCTATCGAAAATTCTCAAAGAGATTGAGAGGCTTGTAGTTACTGAGGAGGAGAGGTCTGAGTATCTTCGTCTGCAAACCGAATTAAAGGAGCAAATAGAAAAGTCCAGGTCTCAACAGGAGCTGCTTTCGAATGAGGTTGAGGATCTGAAGGCTCAAAGGGAATGTTTCGAGAGAGAATGGGAAGAACTTGATGAGAGGAAAGCTGAGATCGAGTCCCAACTAAAGAATGTAACTGATCAGAAAGAAAAACTAGAGAGGCACATTCACTTGGAAGAAGAAAGGCTGAAAAAGGAAAAGCAAGCAGCAAATGACAACATGCAAAGGGAGCTAGAAACTTTTGAAGTGGCCAAAGCTTCATTTGCAGAGACGATGGAGCATGAGCGTTCAGTGATCTCTAAGAAAGCCGAGAGCGAAAGAAGCCAACTGCTTCATGATATTGAAATGCTCAAAAGGAAGCTCGAGGCTGATATGCAGACTAAACTGGAAGAAAGGGAAAGGGAGCTGCAAGCGAAAGAGAAGTTATTTGAGGAAGAGAGAGAGAAGGAACTGAGCAATATTAACTACATAAGAGACGTAGCCAGAAGAGAAATGACGGATGTGCAGAACGATAGACAGAGAATAGAGAAAGAAAAGCTAGAAGTTGATGCTAGTAAAAAACATCTGGAGGAGCAGCAGACAGAGATTCGGAAAGATGTTGATGACCTTGTTTCTTTAACCAAGAAACTGAAGGAGCAACGGGAACAATTTATTAGCGAGAGAAACCGTTTCCTTTCTTCCATGGAAAGTAATAGGAACTGCAATCCTTGTGGTGAACTGATGTCAGAGCTCGTTCTTCCTGAAATTGACAACCTGAAAATGCCTAATTTGTCAAAACTGACAAACATTCTTGAGAACGAAGCGCCAAGGCAGGAAATGAGGGATATATCCCCAACTGCTACTGCCTTAGGATTGCCAGTTTCTGGTGGGACGGTGTCATGGCTCCGGAAATGCACTTCAAAGATTCTCAAGTTGTCCCCAATAAAAATGACAGAAACCTCTGGTGCTGATCAAGAAACTCAGAATACTGAGCAAGCTAACGTGAACGGTGGACCATCAACTATGCTTCAGGCCCAATCTGAAGGTGACACAAGAGAAGTCGATGTCACTAATGCAAACTCAGACGGTGAGCAGAGCAACGTCAACAGCAAGGCTCAAGAAGCTGCTGCAGATTCTTTGTCTAATCTAAATGCTGATGGTCAGTCACGCATGAGAGTGAAAGCCAGAGTCAGAAGAACACGCTCTGTCAAAGCTGTTGTCGAGGATGCGAAAGCTATCTATGGAAATTCTATAGTATTCAATGAGCCCGATGATTCCACAGAAAACGTTGAGGACTCTGCTAATGCAAATGATGGAAGCACGGGTGAACCTGGTCGCTCTGATAAAAGTACTTCAAAGAATGGACGGAAACGTGGCCGTATGGGTTCTTTGAGAGCTTGTACTACTGAGCAGGATGGTAACGAGAGTGATGGAAAATCAGATAGTGTCACCGGAGGAGAAGGTGAGCGTAGGAAGAGGCGGCAAAAAGTTGCATCTAAACAACCAGAAGGAGTGGTGGAAGAAAGATATAATTTCCGGCAACCTAGAAGGTTATTACTTGAAATCCCATTTACTTTCAAACACAGACCCTGAGGATAATGCGTTGGAGCTGCTTATTTTTCCTTTTTATTGAGGCTGTTAATAACTGTTTTTCACAATTTGGGTTATTAGGGGCGCGGGAAAGACGGCGATTGGTAAGAAGAATGAAGAGACTGGTGGAGTGCAACAAAACGAGGATATATACTGTGCTCAAACCACTGCCACAGCATCAGTAAGCGTTGCTGTTAGCGATAATGGAGTAAGCATGAATGCGGTGCAGGTAAAAAAATGTTCTCACAACTTAGCTACGTTTTGTTTTTTCTGATTTCTTGTTCTTGACCAATCTGTTTCCTTTCAATAGCGTGAAACAAGGGCAGACTCTGAGGATACAGATGCTGGCTCGCCCAAAAGAACAATGGAGAGTGCGGCAATGAGTGAAGATGATGTGAACAAAACACCTGAGAGGGCAGACTCAGATGATGAATCAGAATCAGAACATCCCGGGAATGTCTCAATGGGTAAGAAGCTCTGGACTTTCTTGACGACGTAGCCCCCCATCTTTGATCAGGATGTAGCAATTGGCGTATGATGATGAAGAACCAAAGCTTCTTCTTTCTGTTGACAGTATTAGTGTTTGGTTCTTGATCTCTCTTAGCTTATCTTAGGAGACGTTTTCTTTTATCTTTGGTGTTAACTTGGTGTGGATTTTTTTTCCACCAAAATGTAGTGTTTTCTTTCTAGTTTTCTACCACTTTAGTTGCAATCTTTGTTAAAAGGATAATTCTCAATTCTTTTGGTCTGTTTTAGATGATTTTTTATTTTATTTTATGAGAGTGATCTATTATTTGTTCTTTTCTTTCTTTCTTTCTCGTCTTTATCTGTTTCTTTGTCATCTAAATAAGATAAGTCATCATTTGTTATATGTTCAAATAAAGCAGGTACTAAGTTAAAAATGTGTGTGTGATAATTCAAACGACTTCAGATGATGTCTTGAAACTATTAAATTGTTACTATATTCGACGAAACTTGAATATGCAAATACTCTATTTCGATCGTATCAGTACAAGAAAAGGAAAACTTTTAGTGGAACAGAGAGTTGTGTTGTTGCTTCAGGCTTTCAGTAACTTCTTGTGAGATATTCTCTTCTGCTTGGTAGCTTTAATGGTCTGCAACACTTCAATCTCACTTTCTAAAGCAGCGATGTCAAGCGATGCTTCAAGCCCACTTTCTAGGTCAGAGATGACTTGTTGGTAAAGGCGCTGCCACATTGTAATCAGACAAGCATGGTTCTCGTGTACTTTCTTCATCTTTAACAAGACCGAAGCCATGCTTTTGTCTTTTTCACGATTGTATCTGATCGAATAGCTAGCAGCTTCCTCTTCGAATGCTATCTTCGCATTCTCCAACTCCTCAATCTTCATGCTCATCTTGTCTATTGATGTTTGGATAGCTACATCAGTTTTCCTCTGTTGGTTCTTGGATCTCAAGGTCAACGACATGTTGCTTTGGTTTTGTTCTGATCTCCGAAAGACAAAAATCTAAGAGGACGAAGAAATTTTAGGGCTCGTGAAATTGGAATGATGAATTGTAATATTATCTGAAGAGATGTGATGCTGCTATATATAAAGACCACGATTTAAAGTTTCCTTTTTGTTTCATCCTTATTTCCTTTTTTCATTATTGTTGTTTCCTTTTTTTTTGTTTGTTTTTTTGTTTTTGTAGTTTCCTTTTCTCTCTGCCTTTTTGTTTGTTGTTGTTGCGTTCCATTGAAAATGGCAAAACCGAACATGATTTTTCTTGGTTCTCGTAAATTAATTTTGAATATTTTTTGTTTACTCTTGACTGAATATTTTATTTTGTTTACACTTGATTTTTCTTGATTTTTTTTTCTTCTACGCATTCTTTTTTTTTGTAGCCATAGATATGTAAAATCTCGATTTTCTCTCATTTTTTCTATAAAACATATACATTTTCCCACCAGAAATTACACCATAAGCTGCTTGATGATTTTGCTACACAAGAGACACATAAGAGTGTTCAAACATATGCACATTCTTTATCTTGTTCGCTCTCAAGAAGTTTTTCTTCCTGCTCCAACCTTTGTAGCCATTTCAGCCCCAGATCGCATCCTGCTCTTGCCGCGATTTGAAACTGCTCTTTTGCCATCTCTAATGGATCCATCTCCTGCTTCGTTCTTAATCTCTTGGCTGGCGAAACTCCAACGGTATTCAATTTTGTTAGAGATTCTGGAACTTGCACACCTGTAAAGTTGTTGACATCTTTAAGCAAGTGACCTTAAAGCAAGAAACGACACGGTATGATATATTGCTGTCTTTCTAAGAGAAGCAAGATGCGTCTTTAGTGGAAGTGGATATACTAACCTCTAAGTAACTTCATGTAGATCTATGCTAGCTGAGCAAGACTCCATCTCTTTGCAGCGGCTACTGCTAGTAAAGTCTTGACGATTTTCATCTTTACATGCCATACGTTATTGCAGCACCGGCATGTCCCTGAACATATATGTGAGTCAGTCTATGGAAACTACAACAACAAGTCTAATATCCGCACTTGCTCTCCTGCACTTTGGCTCTCTGAGATTTTCAAAAAGTTTTGACATCAGACGATGCTTGTTACGCTAGATATTGGCAGAGATCTATGCCAAGAATGCCACTAGTGAAAAGTCTCCACTATATTTGTTTGTAGCTGAGCCAAAGGCATTACCTTGCGTATCAGAGACTTGATGCATCCCCTGAAATAAGACAAGCAACAGAGAATCCCCGTAGAAACTGATAATCTTCAACCTCTAGCACATTCCTTCTACACAATGATTCACAGGAATCCTTCTACACTAAGTGTTGCCTCACACTTGTTTTGAGGTGATCTGACATAAGCAAACACAACTGTAGCCCCTTAGGACCAGTCCGATCTAGGGAAATACTGCCAATAGGGCTTCAAGCAAGAGGCCAAGTCAACTCAGTCATCATCTAGGTTTCAAGAGATGTAGAAAAGGAGTTTCTTTCACACTTGTTTTGATTGATCATCGTCTTATATCACAGAGATTCTTCTTACTTCGGATCTTTAGTTCTTGGATACAATATTTCAGTGTTTACAGATAGTCGAAGATCCAAGAGAGATAAGCATCTTGGTTTTGTTACATGATATGTCTTTTTGTCAAATGTTCTAACAAGATGTATGAAAATACTCAGCAAAAAGTCTCTTAAGCAAACTGACATGACCAAAATTGACAAACGAAAGCAAAAAATGTAGAGAAACTAAAATAGTGGAATCTAGTGGCAAGTGGAGCATTACTAGAAGAGATATAAACAACTCTGTTTTGAGATAACATGAGCACGTATAATACCCAAAAAAAACGTAAAAAAATATACATCAAGTTCGAGATACATTTGTACTTTGATCTACACAAATACTAAAGTAAACAGAGATATGGTCAAAACTCAGCAGCAACGTCACTGAACAGATACTAAACTGGAACCTGTGAAGGGTTTCATAGGCATAATCTTCATCTTCAGGAATTTACTCAGAGAAGTCTTAAACTGTGGAGCCTTTGTTGGAAAAAACTTGAATTTCAGAGCCTTCTTCTTCTTCTTCTTCTCTGAAACAACAACAACATCCCTTGATGATTTCTTAGAAGAAGAAGCTCTTGTGATTCTCATCTTCATCCTCAACAAAAACGAGTTTACTCTCTCTTCACGACGCAAGAAGCGATGATACACCAACTCAAACGCGCTTCCTCTCTCCTCATGTTTCCTAGAGAAACAAGTCTCGATGAAGCTCCGTGCATCGCAAGGCAAACTCTCCGGAATCTCAGGAGCTTTGCCATCAAGAAGACGAGTCTTGAGATCATCGAGTCCAACGCCTTTCCATGGAATCACGCCTGTGTACATCTCCAGGACAAGGCATCCCAGAGACCAAAGATCTAGGGTTTTGTTGGCGATGCCGTCACGGAGAGACTCGGGCGGCGTGTAAATTGGAGTCCCAACGAATGGAAAATCAATTGCCCAGAAATCAGGAACTTGCCCAACTCTCAACGAGTTTCCGAAATCAGAAATCTTCAACTCGTACGGCGAATTTGAATTTCTCGTCGACGGAAACACAAGATGGTTGTCCGATTTGAGATCGCAATGAACGTAGCCGCGACGGTGAATCGAGACTAAACCTTGAAGAATCATCCGCGTGAAGTCTTTAATCATCGACTCGGGAAGCTTTCTATCGGCGGAGAAATTATCCATGAAAGCGCTTAAACTGCCTTTTGGTGCATACTCTAGAAGCAACTTGTGGACTTTATGTAAGACAGCTAAAATCCAGATTAAAAATCACGAATATAAAAACGATTTAAATCAATAATACATGATAATAAAAGTATAAAATGTTTTAATAAAACTTTTTAGAAAAGACAAGACACGGAGTTGAGATATGATCTTTTTCCTTAAGTTTTTAAATCTCCCGCAGTATGGCGGTTTTGAAGAGATTCAGAATCCTAGGATACAATCGTGTTGAGACTAAAATCGTAGCACCCGACTATAGAATCTGCGAACTTATGAATACGCTATACTCTCGAGACTCACCTAAGACTGTAGAGACGAGAGGGATTTGCTGGATATTTGTGTTTTAGAAAGCTATAAGTTTTTCGTTGATAATCAATAATGAATGAGAGAGGCGAGTATATATAGCGGATAGAAGGATTGGGGCGCAAGGGTTTTCCTTGGCCGCCACTTGTAGATAAACGGAAATATTCTAAAAATCTTCTATTCCTTGATCGCAAAGAATAATAGAAACGGAAATATTCCGGAAATCTTTTATTCCTTTCTGATAAGGATCTGGGAGAAACAGATATATTACAGAAATATTCTGTTATTAATTTTCGACTCAATCATAAAGATTTATCGAGTTATGCAAATTATCTTTAAGGAATATTAACATATTTATGAAAATAGGTTAATAAATATTTACTCCAAAAAAAACATCTTGTTGTGGGCTAAAGCCCCCAAGACCCAAGATCCAAGACTCAAGCCCAAGTCCGGCTCGGCACGGCACGCGCGTGTGTGTGGTTTTGCATAACAGCCCTTTCTCTTCTTCTCCATAGTGTCCTCTTCTAAAGGCTAGTGAACCTTGTTGAGAGTGTGTCACTATATATACTAGTGGAAAATTCTTCCAACTTTCGATGTGGGACAAAAATGCTCATCTTGACATTTGTTGACTTTTTGTCTTGATTACATTCCCACTTTGACCAAAGATTTCTCATTCAAACCAACTTCGTTTTTGACAAGTGAATACATTATCTTATAGTACTCATTACAAGAAATCCAAAAAATCCATAATCCGGTCATTTCGGTAACTGTGCTCACCGGAATGTCGCCGGAAAACTGGCCTGAGCCATTTGTCAAAAACTGAGTTCCAACAATCCCCCACATGAATAGAAATTACTCTAAAACATATGCAGACTCTACTAACTCGAAAGACTATGCAGACACATTAGGACTTGACACGAGGACTTTTCGAGAGTATAGGCGAAAAATTAACTGTGTATGATATAATAGCATATTTCAGCCTTGAACTATTCATTGTTGATATCTGTCGAGTTTACTTGGCCAGGAGGTGAACATGATGTCTTGAACCGCCCGGATTTTTATGTAAACTTAGACAACAGGTACAACCCAGTTTCATCTTCTCGTAGAACTAAGTTCTCTATTGTGTTCATTGTGGCCGTGAACTTGCCTGGTTGTCATGAGTGAACTTGGAGATATAGCCTTGTCTTCATCCTCCTAGAAACGGCCGCATTTCACACTCACTAGGTGATTTCTTTGAGCTCCTGACATATACACAAGTATCCTGTTATACTATATATTATGAAAGCTACTCAAAATCATTAAAAGTATAAAACTTATCCTTTAATACTTACAGGGAGCACTGTACATCGTTTTGGGAGATGGGCATAAACGTTATGTCTTTCAGTGCTTTCATCAGACTCTGTTTGATTTGGTTGTCCCTTTGAACTTAGATCTTGGGATCTCCAATCACATAAGTGGGGTTTCGATCAAACATCCTCTTTAGTCATAGGCAATAAACCCATTCCCTTTGATGATTTCAAAACTTGATCTCTATTTAAACCTTTAGTGAACGGATCCGTAAGGTTGTCAGCTGACTTGATGTAATCAACCGAGATTACACCCGTTGAGATCAAATGTCTAATGGTCTTATGTCGCCTTCTGATGTGGCGAGACTTACCATTGTATAGGTTACTCAATGCCCGAGCTATTGCTGATTGACTATCACAATGCACTCGTAATGCTGGCACTGGTTTCTCCCACATGGGGATGTCTTCAAGGAAATTCCATAGCCATTCTGCTTCCTCTGCTACCTTGTCTAGCGCTATGAACTCAGATTCCATTGTGGATCTTGCTAACAGAGTTTGTTTGGAAGATTTCCAAGATACTGCTGCACCTCCTAGAGTAAAGACGTATCCACTTGTGGATTTCGAATTCTTTGAGTCTGATATCCAGTTTGCATCACTGTATCCTTCCAAAGATGCGGGTTCTTTACCGTAGTGCAGCCCATAACTCTTGGTGTATCGCAAATAATTTAATACCCTTGTTATGGCTTTCCAGTGTGTATGACCTGGATTACTTGTGTAACGACTTAACACGTTGACAGTATGCGCAAGGTCTGGTCGTGTACAATTGGTTCGGTACATTAGACTGCCAATGACCCTTGTATATTCCACTTGTGAAACAGCTTCACCAGAGTTCTTTGTCAAGTGTAGTTGAGAATCTACGGGAGTCTTCGCAGTTTCGTTTGAGTAGGCCTTAAACCTCTCAAGAATCTTTTCAGCATAATGACCTTGAGACAGAGGGATGCCTTCAGAGGTGCGTGTAATTTTTATGCCAAGGATAACATCCGTAAGACCCATGTCTTTCATGTCAAACTGACCACTAAGCATTGTCTTGGTTTGTTGGATGATATCATTGTTACTTCCCATGATGAGCATGTCATCAACGTATAAACACAACAAGATATACCCGTGAGGAGTACTTTTGATGTAGATGCATTTATCACACTCATTTATGCTGAAACCATTTGACATTATTACATTGTCAAACTTTTCATGCCATTACTTTGGAGCTTGTTTCAGACCATACAATGACTTCACAAGTCTACAGACTTTGTGTTCTTGACCCGGGACCACAAATCCTTCGGGTTGCTTCATGTAAATCTCCTCTTCTAGATCACCGTTTAGAAAGGCCGTTTTTACATCCATCTGATGGATTTCGAGTCCTCTTAGGGCTGCAACTCCTATCAGAATTCTTATTGAAGTTATTCTCGTTACTGGAGAATAGGTGTCGAAGAAATCTAGACCTTCTTTTTGTCTGAATCCTTGAACCACAAGTCTGGCCTTGTACTTCTCAATTGAACCATCAGTTTTCAACTTGGTTTTGAATATCCATCTACACCCTAGTGCTTTGAAACCTTGAGGTAAATCAGTGATCTCATAAGTATGATTCTGCATTATAGAATCAATTTCACTATTAACTGCTTCTTTCCAGAAAGATGCATCAGGTGTAGACATGGCTTCTGTGTATAATCTCGGCTCATTCTCTGTGAGAAATACCGTTAAGAAATCATCACCAAAAGATTTTTCCTTGCGTGCTCTTTTGCTACGTCTAGGTTCATCTTCTTCATCTTCTGCTTCATCAACTGAAATTCTAGAAGTGCTCTCCTCATTTACAGAGATGCTAGCGTCTCTTTCATCATGAGTGCGTTTCTTACTTTGTTTCTCTTTGCACGGAAAGATGTTTTCAAAGAAAGACACATTCCTAGATTCCATTATCGTGTTGACATGGATGTCTGGTACATCTGACTTATGTACTAGGAATCGATAGGCACTACTATTATGTGCATATCCGATGAAGATGCAATCAACCGTTTTAGGCCCAATTGTCAGCTTCTTAGGAGGTGGCACAGCGACTTTTGCTAAGCACCCCCACACTTTGAGGTATTTGTACGAAGGTACAGTTCCTTTCCAAAGTTCATATGGCGTTTTGCCAGTAATCTTGTGTGGAATTTTGTTGAGGATGTAGTTTGTGGTGAGCAGCGCTTCCCCCCACAGATTCTGGGGTGTCCCAAATTCCTGCAACATTGCATTCATCATCTCTTTCAGAGTGCGATTCTTTCTCTCAGCAACTCCGTTAGATTCTGGTGAGTAGGGAGCGGTTGTTTGATGTATGATGCCTTTTTCTTGACAAAAAGCGTTGAAAGGTCCATCATACTCGCCTCCTCTATCACTTCTAACCATCTTAATGGTTTTTCCCAGTTGGTTTTCAACTTCGAGCTTGTATTCTTTGAATTTGTCCAAGACTTCGTCTTTACTTTGCAGTAAGTAGACGTAACAGTATCTTGTGCAATCATCAATGAAAGTCACGAAGTACTTCTTACCACCCCTTGTTTGTATATACTTTAACTCGCACAGATCAGTGTGGATTAAGCCAAGAAGTTCGGTTGTTCTTTCAACATGAGGAGATGGTGTTTTTGTGAGTTTTGATTGTACACAAACTTCACACTTGTCATTGCTAATTTTGTATTTGGAGATTAAGTTCGAATTCATCAGCCTTTGTACAGACTTATAATTCACATGTCCTAATTTTTCATGCCAAATATTAGAAGACTCAACCAAATAAGCAACTGGTTTCTTATTCTTATCATTTTTGGAAACAGGTACATCGTTTTTATTGAGGATGGTCATTACACACATTTTGACCAATCCTTCCTTAACAAATCCTTTTCCAATGAAAACACCATTCTTCCTAAGAATCAACTGGTCAGATTCGAAATTGATTGCAAATCCGTGCTTGCTTAGCAGCGTGCCAGAGATCAGATTCTTCCTCATGTCTGGAACATGCTTCACGTTTGAGAGCGTGATCTCCATTCCCGATGTCATCTTTAGCACCACTTTTTCGGTACCTTCAATCTTGGAGTGGGACACGTTTCCCATCAACAGATGTTCATCAGTTTTGCTCTTTTGATAGGTGTTGGAACATATCTCTATCAATGCAGATGTGTGTGGTAGCACCAGTATCGTACCACCATGCCCTTGGGTTTTCTTCAACCATGTTAGCTTCTGTTACAACTGCGCACATATCAGCTTGAGTTAGGTTGGCTTGATTAACACCCTTGGCCTTACTGCGACAGTCTATAGCACGATGTCCCATCTTGCCGCAGTGGTTACACTTCCCAG